CGATGCACGTTGGCAAAATTTATTATTCCGTGCACTGTGGTGTATACAGTGGAGGTTGTCTATATATGGCGAGACTGACGTGTTTCTTTAAATAGATATAAATAAATGTTAGTACAATATGTTAAATTTTAGTTTGTTATATTAAAATTGCGTTTTTATACAGAATATTAGAATTGCAAAAATTATCAGAAATAATGATCTAATATAAAGATATATAAATAAATTTATATGTGCAGAGACATTGTAAATTTTTATAGATATAATTTAATTTTCTTAATTGGAGCAATTTGTGTAACGAGTTATAAAATAATATTGGATTTAATATTAAATTTAAATATAATACTAAAAAGAAACAAATAAGTATATATTGTAAGTGAATAAGATAATATTACTTGAATTTTAATATTAAACTTGCATGTAATATTGTACTAAAAACTATATCTATTAATTGTCACTGAAACTAAATGTATTATTTTAGCGAAGCAATTATTTACATCATTTTTACTTGTTAATTTTCAGTGTCAAAATGGGAAGGAGACTATACTTGTTATCCTTCACTAAGACCTGCCAGCCTCACTTCAATGATATACCCACCACCCATGCACAAGAATTAAAAAATTTTTAAACAACGTAACAAACTCTAAGAAACAATAATCTTTCCGGGCAATTAGAAACTTAATGCGAGAAATTTAAAACAAGAAGTGAAGAAAAACGTTTGATAAGCCCGTTTGATGATAAGTCCAAGCGTTGTGGTGGTGGATTCTATAAAATTGAAACATTAAAGGACAATAATAAAATACCTTACTGTACATAAGTGAGTTTAAATTTATATAGATTTTAAATATTGTTATTGACTAATGTTGGCTCTCCGTTATGAAATTGTGATATTATAAAATGAATGTAATCCATGAATGACGATTCTAATTTTTTGTAGGAGAGAGGATGATCACCCTGGAGGTAGTGGAGTTGGTTAGAATTTCTGGGTCTAGGAGGAGATTTATCAAGAGGGAATGAGGAATCCGGCGGCATTGCATTTGATCGGGATAGCGGCATCCCCTGGAGGAGGTGAAGTTTTTGGTTCGCGGGCCGAGGAGGAGTTGCGCCAGTGGCTCGAAGCACGCCTGGACGCATTGGGGATTGACCCTGTTGCGTACTCGCGTTTGGTGCTCAGCCTATTGCGCCGCCCCGACTCGGCCCTAAGTCCTCCAGAAGAGGATTTTGCAACTGAGTTAGGTACTAGGAGCACAGGATGTCGCATACGTGTCCGATTTAAAGCAAAGCTGCCAACACATGGTGACGGGGAGCAACGCCGAACTGTTGTGCAATATCTGACAAGTGCCGCTGATGACGTGAGTTTAAAATATAATTTCCGCTAAAGATATATAAAATCACAAATTTCTATTTTCTAAATTTCGTTACAATTATGTAAAAAAATATTTCTTCTGCATATAGAAAAACGGAGTGGAAACGCTGGTTGATGAATTGTGCATAAAACTAAAAGAATTGGAGGGAGGAAGTTCGCGTAATGAGAAAGAAGAATCTAAGAAATCTAGTGATGAACCAAAAACGAATTTAGAAGCACTCACACCTCGTGACAGAGCTCTCAGATACTACGCAGCATTCCCAGCTTTGCAGTCTGCATCCATCAAAAAGTCTCCGCATAAAAATTTTGCCAACAGTACCAATAATAAAACCATTACCATTGGAATTAATTTCCACAATAATAAAAATAACAGCGCTCGCAATAAAAAAACAAAAATGTCTATTAATCTTGTAAGTATTGTTTCTTTATTTGTTTTTGAAGCTTTAGTTATGTAGTAATTTACCACTACAGTAAATTATTTTTTCCTTTTTTAGTGTATTGAAACACAAAGATCAGAAGATAAAGAAAGTTTTGGATTCGCTAAATCAATGGAACGGGAGAGAGAAAAAGAACGCGAATTGGAACTTGATCAGTTAAAATTGGCACAGTTAAAAGCAAAGTTTAATGAGAATTTGGAGGCACTTTGGAATACAGCACCAGGCAATGCACAGGACACAGCTTCAATATGGGCAGCTCCAACACTTTCCATTCCTTCTGGACCTCTATGGCCAACAGACACTACCAAGACAATCTTTACCTTACCTACTTCAAATAACAGTTATGCTACTGACACACCAAATCAAGACTCAGTTGTTGATGAATCACCGCTTATCCCGTGGGATATAGATGTAATCGGCATTGAAGATCATGCAGATGTTTACAGCAATAAAAAAGCAGGTGAGATATTAATATGATGTAACATATAGTTCATGAATAATACTATTAAAAAAATTTTATACAGATTTTGTTATTAATAAATATTCTTATATATTGATATATTATTACAGAATGTAATGTAACTTGGTCAGATTCGTTTACGGATGGACCCTGGTGCTGGAAAGGAATTGATAGCAACTTAGCTACAGGCTTATATTGTCACAATCCTCAGACAGGGAGTTGCTTCTTTCCAATAGCATCATGTAAGACTCCAATTGGAACTTGTAAACAGTCTCGTTCGAGTTTGAAGGTAAACAGCCTTCCCGAACCAGACGAGGATTTATTGACTTCCATGCGTACTCACTTTCGTCCGATAAAGGACGATGGTCACTGGGCAGATGGGACAACATTTCCCGTAAACAACACAGTAGAACGAGTTGCCTATCGCAGATCCGAATCAGGAAACTTACTATATCTTCCTGGCGGAGAAAGCCCTTATATGGAGTACCGGGAGAGCGACACGGTGATGCCATCCGTGTCTACGAATTTAACATTGAAGTTTCGAGTACGTCAATGCGACAAGAGTGTCCAAACCGAACCCATACGATCTCCGGTCAAACGTCGCATCCTTTCTGAACAGGATCATTTTCGCTATTCTCCGATCGGAGCTGAAGATGCTGTTATACACGAACAAGAAAATATCGAAAAAGATTCCTTTGCTTTGGATCAACTTGGCTGGGTACAATCGAGTGTTTCTCTGCACAATGATAGAAAAAGGTAATGAATATCGTTATAAAAGATACGTATCATATATGCTTTGGCTAAATGCCTTATAAACGTTACATAGAAATTGTAACATTGTGTCGTAATTACAAATACTGCTAAAGAGACGGTGGTCGTAGATATTAATTTTTTTGTTTTTTTTTTTTTTTTATTATTATTAAGTGAGTGTGGAATCGATATTGCCAGACTGGAAAGCGACTTGCAATGCAATGCATAATCATTAAGAATCCAATTACATTCCATTCGGAACAAAAACAACAAAAACAATTGGTATTTATAAACAACTTATATCTATTGGAAAAAATAAATATTAATCTATGTGATTATTTTAGGTGATTAGAAAATTTTAATGGACTAAATTAACTACAAGTAATTGTAATACATATATTTATCATTTTTATTGGAAAGTATTTAAATGAGTGTATTGATTCTTCCAAAAATTTGGATCAATTTTTCTTTAGAATAGAATTTACATGCTAAAAAATGTTTAAAAAACGAGAAAAAATAATAGTGATAAGTGATTTTGTTACGATAATGAACCGAATTCAGGTATAATCAAAAATATTAATGGTGCGTCCGAAAAAAAGTTTTGCAGACACAATTTAGTTTTGCCACACTATAATTGTATCTAATTATATACATGATATCTTTTTTCTGATAGAAGGCACAGTAGCAGCTTTGGGTGCCAGCCACTGACGACTTTGCGTCCATTGACCTTATGAACTGGATAATGTAAGCTGCTAAATAATTCTATGTGAAGATTTGAAGTTAGCTATATATACTTTTTTTCGCAAGATAAAGCGAATGATAGGTGCGTAAATGGGGGTCCTCTTGGCATGTGGAATTTGTTATGCATGTATCCAAGAAGGCACGAGTAAACCCCATCGTCACTCGTAATAAGCAACATGCAATCGAATACGAAAACGAAACGCGAGGATATTAATTATTCATTTAGATAGTTATTATTAACCCTCTTTGTGAGATGAGTAAAACGGAAAGGAGCAAAATGAGAAAAAAAAGTGTATACCTTACACACAGTGTCTCACGTTGTAAGAACGTTGAAGACGTAGTCTACGTGGTTTAAGTTGTAGGTTGTTGATTATTTTGTGATTTTTGAGGAGAAAACTTAGTACGCTGATTTTATAGGAAATTGTAGCAAGCAATTTTGTTTCTCGCCCGACGTGCAGGCCAAGAGTTTATTTATTAAATTCTTGTTTAAAAAGGGGGAAACGGATATTATTAAAGTTGGCAATTAGAGACAAATTTTCGAAAAGACAGTCTAGTACTTATTTTGAGCGCCGCACGTTGCAAATCGGGTATTTAATTCAAGTTCTACTGTTGTTTTTCGCGATTATTAATGGATTACCTTCTTAATCTCGTATTCTCCTAATTATAATTTAACTCCCTAGAAGATTAATCCTTCCCTCTATCCTCTTTTCCCTTTCCCATTATCCAAATCTCCTTGTATCCAACGCTTTCCCTGTGCTCACCCTAAGAAAATCGAATAACTGAGAACGTACATGTAAAAAAAAAACGTGTAATTTGAAAACACATGCTTACCTCATGAAAGAGGTATGCAAGAAAAAGAAAAAAAAATACAAGAAATGTTACTAGCATGCAAATGCCTTTGAAAAGAATGTTGGAAATTGAAAAATGTTGATGTGTCGAAAGGAAATGTATACCTTATAATTGACTTTGTTTTGAGATGATAATTTAAGATGAGATGATGATTTAAGATGAGATGATGATTTAGGATGAGATGATGATTTAAGGTGAGATGATGAAATGATGAGGATATGTGCGAGAATCGAATGGAGAATAATTAGTGGCAGATGCGTTGAATGTGGACTTCTGATCTTATGTTTTAGGAAATGATGTAAAAGGGTGTGAATATAAAACGGAATGAGAATAGAAAATATCTGCGCGCGAAATGTATGGAAAATGACAAAATAAAGGCATTGCGAACATTATACATAAATTTAGAATTTTCCATCTCTTCGCATATTTATTCCACATATTCCATCCAAATATTTCGAAAGTTACATCCTTTCCTTTCATTCGGACAAATACATGTATAGCATAATATACGCTAAGAGCATGCACAAGTTGATCTAAAAAGTTATCATATATTACAATAATGCTTTACTGTCACATTAATATGACGATTCAAGAATCTAAAAAATATTGAAAATCTTGTAGAAAACCAACACATTGTCTAAAAATAATTTTGTATTTCTTTGTGCGATAATTTTATTCTTATACTTATTTACTATCAATATTTCACATATGTATATCTCAAATGATAGAACTTAAAATCTCGATCTAAATTGCACAGGTTTAAACCCATGCGTGGGAGCGGGATGTAAATTGAATCTTATCGGCTTGATTACCTTCGCCATCTTAGTTTTAAGAGACTTATCTTTATCTTTATGTAATTCGCTAACTTTCCCACGATAACGATAATACCAATATTCGAATGCTAACGTGAAGCAAGCAAAGATGATGCCTACGAAAATTACGAGGAATACACCGCCAATATTGTGAATACTAATACCATCGCTCTGATCATTTTCTAAATCGCAATTCTTCCGCACAGGATTGTCCTTCCACCATCTGTCCTTCAACTTTTCCAATCTTCTCTTGTTCAACAATATGAGGATTCTGAAAGAAATAGCGATTTTAGAAAGATTGTCCTTCAGAAAAGAAAGAAGAAAATACGTACGCGTTATTAAATTGATCCTTCAATGGTGATCCTTGTTGAACAGCGATAGCATACGGTTTCCTCGAAAATTCCTCTCCAACTTGAGTGAGATCGCAATTTGTAAGAACAAGATATTTGATGGTCGAGGCATCTCCGATAAAAGCGAATTCGTTATTCGCATATGGACCCTCGCGTCGAATTCGCTTTAAAGCGTCATCGATATTGGTCGGGAAACCAGCTTCTTTCATGGCTTGGAACATTTTTGTATATTTGTCACTGACTGGATAATCCCAAACGGCTAATTTCGCCCTTTCCACGTCCGACAAGCTGTCATTCAGACTCATATCTTTCCAAATTCTGAAAAAAGAAAATTGAAATAAATGACTGACAGAAGAAGGCATATGAAGCTAACGAAAGAAGAAGAAGAAGAAGAGGAAGGATTACTTACTCATAAAACCGCGCCTCGATGTTCGCCATCCTCTGAAAGTAGACGTACGCCGGTGAATTCACTGTAGGCGCATACTGTATCTTGTACTGCTTGCTAAGATCTTCCAACGTCTCGATGGGTATCTCCAATCTGGATACTGTGAGGAAAGCCGCCAGATTCGCTGTATAGGACGCGATGATGATGAATCCGAAGAGCCACCACGTAGCCGCCACCAACCTGCCGGACAAATTTTTCGGCGCCTCGCCACCACCCTGAGGAGTCAAAGAAGTCATGCAAAACCAGAAGCACTCCCTGAGATTGAACTCCCGCTTCTCCTCGTCATCCTTATACTTGTCACGATTATTCTGATAACTGTAAGGCGACCAGCGATCGAACGCCCACATGAGGAAGCTTGTGAAGAAGTAAGCCGCTAGGATACAGAGCCAGACATCCCTCTCCAGTACAGTGAGAAACTTGAAGAGCGATGTCGACGTCTTCGTCTTCTGCATCATGATCGTCAGACCGACCAGATCGTAATAGGGCACCGTAAAGTCCACGACCTTCTCCCGTTCTGCCATCACCCACAGCGAGCCCAGGGCAATATCGGCTCTCTTATCTATCAGCTCCCTCATCAGGCCGTCCCAGCTACCGTTTTCATTCAGCGATCCGTACTGCTGGTCCTCCACCTCGCGTATTTCATACTCGAAAGGTACAGTCTCGCGAATCGCATCCAGTAAATCGATGCAGAAGCCGTACCAATGATTAGTCTCGTTGTCGAACATCACGAAGGGCGGATGTTGAACAACGACCACCCTGTAGCTTGTCACCGCGCTATTGTTCATGATCTCCTCGTTGGTGATCTTCGCGGAAAGTTACAAGAATTGTATAAGTTCTCGTGTACAATCGACGTGGATCACACGTAAAGTTGACAGCGGCCTATCGGATGTACGAAGGAAAGGTAGTGCGAAGCGAGTGAAACTAAATACGCAAATAATAGGACGAAAGGCGAAGGGTTGCGAACCTAGGTGCTTTCGTGACGCGATATCTGAATAAATATAAATGCATGTGTGACCATCCATTCTCTGATCACCTTGAACTTTTTCCAGGGCAGATAAGCGATCATCATTAAACGAGAACGATGGTGAGGCAGATAGGCGCTATGGTATTAATAAAAGAAGAGCTTACGTCGAAGATATCCCTTTTTTTTCTCTCCAACGTGTAAGTGTATATCTTATTTAATATGAATATTATCGCGTTTGCATTTATTAATGCAAACGCGCAGTGTTTTATATTTTTCTCCTTCTCAAAGAGAGAAGAGGGCAATAATATAAAGCGCATGTACATTTTTTGCTTGCACGTTTCTGTGTATGCGTGAGCTTGTATTATTTATGAGGGTTTATTATTATGTTATACTTTAATAGAGCTCGAATATTTTTCGCGAGTAAGCAGACATTCGTTATAAAAGTTTGAATTACTACAATAATTTTTCAATGAGATTCCAATTCAATACTGCGATCAATTTGTCTGTTTCGTGAATTATTTCTGAACCTATTTCAGAATTATTTCCTCTTTATGAAACATGAAAAAGGATAGTATATGGACAAAAAAAATATAAGCGATCGATCGCATAAATGTCGGTCGGCCACGATGGTCAAGTGTGATCAATAATCCTTGGATATGGCATTTGAGAGAAATGAAAGAAAAATTGAAAAAAATCACACGTGATATTGAAAGTGTTCTCGTATTTTTAAGCCGAAAAAAATTTCTTAGAATATATTGCGTGCAAACGTGATATCTTCATTCAAAAAGTGGATTGCGAATAAACGAAAAATATTAATAAATATTAATTGTATGATTTAACACACGAGAATTTTTAATTTACTTAGAATTTATTCTGAAAAATCATGGTAATCGTGGGACAATATGGTATTGGAAGAATTTTAAAGAATTCTCTGAGTATAATATTTATCATAAAAAAATATTAATATCTATCACAATAAGATATAAAATATGTTCGATAAATTTTACTCACAAACATATCTTCTTGTGATAGATATTAATATTTTTTGTGGTGAATATTAATCAGAGAAACTCTTATAAAATTTTTATAAAATTCTTCCAATACCATATTGTCCCATGATTACGAGTATCATGACTTTCAGGAAAAATTCTAGAAAGAAAATTCTCTCTGTATGCATATACGCGGTATATTTGAATATATAATATTTATAATATTATATATATAATTTTAATTATAATATGTAATATTATATGTATAATTAAAATTTAAAGAACATACACATGCATTTACACAAGCAGACAATATATGTATATTAATAAATATGTATATTGAGAATTTTCTCTTAGAATTTATTTTGAAAATTATGGTAATCGTAAGACAATATAGTATTGGAAGAATTTTATAAGATTTCTCTAATTAATATTTACCACAATAAAAAATATTAATATCTACTACAATAAGATATAAAATATGTTAATTGGATTAATTATATTTGATGCACATAGTAAACTTATTTTATATCTTATTGTGGTAGAATATTTTTATTGTGATAAATATTAATTAGAGAAACTTTTATAAAATTCTTTTAATATCATAGATAAATTCTAGAAGAACGTTCTCTCTGCACACACATATAAGTACGCTGCGTTTCAAGCAACGTGGGTTTACCTGCAAAGGCATCTCGATGCCCGTCTGCCATTCTCCGCTTAGTATCTTCGTCGAGATCTTTTCCCGTTCGATGTTCACCATGTACATGTTTACCTTAAAATCCGCGCCGTGCTCCCCATTTTTCTTACCCCAACTGATGCCGGCGTACGTCGGCGTCATATTCTTCGAGGTCGCAATCAGTTTAGACAGGAAATCTATGTTCCTCGTCGGTGTGTTTGTCTCGTTATAAATGTTACAATCGATTTGACGTGGTTCCAAAGGCCAGTCGCCGTTATCCAAGGCTGACTTCATCGCCCGAACTCCCAGCAAGGTCAAGTCGTAATAAAACGCGGATGTGATAAACGGTTTCGGGAGTATCGTCCTCGCGATCGGCTCCGGCTGGCTTTGATTGCCCACCGTCGGCGGTACCGGCTTCAGGAACAACACGGTCATGTTCTCGCATGGACAGGACGGCCACGATTCGTCATCCAAGCTCAAAACGAACCAGCCGTACTTCCGTCCATTGAAGTACAACGATTCCCCGGCGTCCAGCACTATATCGACGGATTTTTCGTCGCCCAGCAGAAAGAAGTTAACCACATCCAGATCTCGCATCTTCGACAATTGCTCCTTAATTGTGTCGAGCGACAACTGCAGCTCATTGATGACGTGTCTAGTCGGCACGTTCAGCAACAAACTCTTATATTTGTGATTCATGATGAAAGTCTTGTCGAAGAGAATGCCGGCATTAGTGATGTTCATCTGGATCGCCAACTGCCGAATCGCCTCGGGCATGAGATCGCCCGGTGTCATTACCTGAAGTGAAATTTTAAGCAACACGAAATTGAGAAACGCAAGAGACTGAAGAATTTTCTTCGAAAAAATTGAAAGAGACTTAACAAATTTCAAACTAATTAATCGGATCTTTCAGAGTACCTGGACCAAGTAATTTTTCTGATCAAGAGTCGGATCTCTCCAGGCCCGAATGTCACCCTCCTGGCCATATTGGGCAGATAAGGTTGGGACTCCCATGGCTGCGGTGAATGAACTGGACATATCGGAGCCTGGGCCGGCTCTCGTCACATCTAGGATCAGATCTGGAACGGCGGAGCCGCCTCTGCTGACAGCCGAACTCCAGGCGTCGCATATACTATCGAGGCTCTCGCTGGAATCGCTCTCGTTGATTCGCACGGACCACACCGTGCCTAGATGATCCGGATATCTCTCCTTCAGAGCCTTCAAGGCGGCAGTCACGCTCGCGTTGGCCGCCTTGTTCTTCACGCCATTAATTATAACTAATTGGGGGAAAAAGCGTCGCGCCCCGACGTGGCATGCAAAGAAAGAAAAAGGATAAAACTGAATCAGGCGATTAATTAATCTCGAAATCCTAGGCCTTAAATAGCTTATTAATGGAAAGTTACGCCGTGAGACAAAAGCAATTACAACGCATTGTTCGAAAAGTTTAATGGAACGATTTAAAAAGCTGTTTCTGTACTTTCGTAAATGGAAGCTCTCGGCAGTATTCGGAAGTACTCGGTCTGTACTAATGGACGTGACACTTTTTTTTTTCTCTACGTGATGATAAATGTAGCCGTTATAACAATACGTCGTCATATCACATCGATCATAAATATCAGTTAGCGTCAGAGAGAGAAATCATGTTATCGCGCCCTCTACGCAAGGAATATTTCAATCAAAACTTTCACAGGGGATGAAAACCTACAGAGATTCACCGGTCTCGATTTTGCCGGTTTCTTTTTGTCGCCTCCGCTCGACGCACCCTCTACTCCGTGGACCGTAAAAATCGTCGATAAAACGTGCAGAATCATACAAGTCTTCGCGACGCGACAGAAAATCATGATCATGAGCGGGAAGCGATCTTCGGCTTGAAAACTAAAAGCTTGGAACAATCGCCGCTGGATTCAACGTTCCCAGGAGTACAGTAAGAGTATAATCAGCTTGGTCCATCGAAGATATTTTCAGCGACACACGGATTAAAGCTCGGGAGCTATAAATATCATTTATGTCAACGCTCTTTCGCTCCCGCCAAGGATATATCAAGAGGAAAAGCGCGCCAAAGTTGGTCGCTTGAAGAAAAATGCTTGGCGCACTTAATTCCCCACGCGATTAAACTTGCAACTGCGTTTATATATTGAGTTTAATAATCGTCAGTTCGATCTCGCAAGCAGACGTCAAAGCGATATGGAAGTAGAACGCCGGGTCGGCAACACGGCCTTCACGGTCCAGTTATACGACCCGTGGATGAAAGCGGTGCTGGTAGCCGATGGCTATCGTTAGGCGACATCGTCGGGACGGTTCTTCCCTCGGATTCGTCATCTACACGTTCCGAAAACTCCAAAGCGGATGTTACGCGGTTAGCTGTCTACTGGCGAGGCGGTTCGCAGGCGTCTCGCTCCAAGGTGTCCCGCGGTTTATTTATGTTTGTCCATCGGTTACCGCGGGGATGACCCCAATCAATCGTGTCCCGGCGCGTGTGACCGGCTCGGCTGTCATCATCTCTTTCTTTGACGAAAATTTGAAGGTATATGTACATACGTATATATTGAATCGTGAGATTCGTGTGTCGTCGCGATACATTGTTTGAGGATCGAGAAACACGCGAGCGATATGAAATTCCGTCGCATGTTTCACGACTCTTTGGCTCTTATCGATAATTCATCGTTCCATCGCTGAAAAAATTCTTAGATGCACATTAGGGAATATTTTTTTCCTGTCTACACATCAATCATTTCGAATGAATTTTTAAGTATATTTACAAAAAGTACAATTTTGATGAAACGAAAATTATTATACAGACATAATATTGTTGTATAAAAGGAAAGCGCAATTATTATAGATGCGCTAAATAGAAATGAGCAAATTATAATTAACGTATTGCATTATATTAATTATGTTTTCGACCCTGTGGATATTGGTTTAAGCAAATTAGCAACCATGGGGATTAAACACAGTTGAATCGGGTCCGGAAATTATATTCGCTCGAGTCAAACTGATTGAGAATATGATGTCAATGATTTGCACGCGAAAAAGTGATCGCTCGTGCGCGCGGAAAGCGATACGAATGCTAGAGGATTTGCATTTACGCACTAGTTGCCGGTGCAATCGATCATTTCCATTTCATTTAAACGGTGTTTTTCTGAAATCGACTTAGCCTCCACGAAAAGGACTCTATTTAGTCAGTTAAGTGCACTTTGATTACCGGAAGGACGTGTCTCATCCTTTCCGTTTACTCTTTCATATATTTCTTTCAATTGCTAAAATATTGAAAATCATAAAAAAACTGGACGTACTATCTTGATTGGTCTTAGAAAAAAAATAGCACAGAAATAAATGTGAAACGTCTAAGTAATTAATGTCAATTAAATAAATTGTTATTTTGAAGTGTATTTTTAATTGGTTTTGTATACGTGGATATAAAATGGATATCAGAAAAATTCTGATGTGAAAATAGAAGTTATCAGAGAAGCACGAAGCAACAAATTTTGTGTGTTTATGATCAAATCGAAACACGGTGAATATCACACGATATCGTATTCCATTTCCGTTAATATAACTGCCATCAAAATAAATCTTTCTCTAAAAAAAAAGAATGATTTATAATTCATGAGAGTGCATTTTTACTCAAATATTTATGCATATCATAAACCAGGATTACTTTGTCACGAGATAGGTGACTTTTCTGCCATATATATCTCCTTTCCATTTCAACAACAACTGCATTTTACATGAACAAAATTGTTAAAGAATTATTGACTTACCCCACTTGATATTTTTTATAGCACAAACATACATTTTAAGAAAATATTATTTGCACATCTTATACATATATGATACAATATAAATAATAGTTAATTTTTTTTGACAATCAGAAAAATTATTCTCGAGATCGGCTGTTATTATATTAAACCACGTCACGCGAACTTACATCAATCGAAGCGATTACCAAGCATTTCTTACACGCAAATCGACCGGTTGCAAAAAAATATTTATATATAGTCGAAAACTATAATACATTCCGTGGTCCAGTAATTCATAATTACGCGATAGGAACTAAACTCCGTCCTTGACACACATGCAAGCTACCGTGGTTAACGAGCAGGCGGGGATTAAAAATCTTAAGAAACGTATAATTTAAGCACAATCAATTCGAAGCCTTGTAATATCCAACTCCATTTGCGCCGCGGCGTCAAGGCGTCAGATACATGCATAGATACGACGACGCTATGGAAGGGTATGTTATTACGAGGCGATTATTATTATTTTTTATCATTAAAATTGGAGATTCTTATTTCAGATAAAAAATAAATATTACAATCGACTTTATACATTTACTAATATATGTATATACTTTACATATTATACATATATATTTGTGAATCTAACATTAATTTTCCTCTCTCGTTTTGTCCAGATCTCTCTCTTTAAAAAAAAACTCTTTAAAATATTAAAAATATTTCGCACGTGTTAAATCAAAAATATCTCTTTCGGTTTTAATATCGCCAACTTCCGCCAATGCTCTGTTCGAACTTTGACTTTCACAATCATTTTAAATCACGACTTGTATAATTCCAAGTGTATAAAAGAGTGCAGTTAATAAATATCCAATATAGATGTATATTGGTTTATATATTTTATATATAGTGTAAAATTATATATTTTCTTATGTGAGTTTTTTCGAATGTCGTTTCTCAACGAAACAAATATAGTAAAATTATTAATCGGTAATAGGTAGTAAAAAAATTAAGAATACATTATCGAGTTTTCTTTTCAAATGAGAATTTTTTTATTCATCTCATCATCGGATTACGATTTGTTAGCATGAAGTATTTAATCGGCTTTATATAATCTGTATAAATAAATTTGCGATTAATTTTTCATATATTATTCGCGACTTTCTGAATGTCGACGGATTTTATCTTTATTGCATTATAAATCTTCGTATACTTAATCTGGACCGTATAAGTTAACCCGTTCCTTTCATAATCCGCCACGCTCTCATACAAAAACTCATTTCTCTCCTCAGACTACAAACATTTTTACGACTACCGAAATTGTCTGAGAGCATTTCTACTATAATTAATTTACTCTTTTTACATTGTTGCGAAATGAGAAATGAAAAATCACTTTATGGTCATCTAATAATAAGAAATTAATATTTAAATGAATAATTACGCGCTGTTGGCTCTCTTTTGTCATAATTAAAAACCATATGATAAATTAATTATTTTCATACGTGAAAGATGGTAATTTTATAATCGCCTAATAACAAAGGAGTTAACAAGGATGACATATATAATATAAATATGAAAGCAAACCTCATTCTCTGAGAATGAGTTTTCAGTTCGTTGAAACTGTGTAATTAGAATGATTCTCGTTTATGAGAGTTAATTAAATTCGCCAATGTTAATGCTTTTAAACAATTCATCTATGTAGAATACACGTATAATTTAGCTTTATGTATATCGGACCATAATTTATTAGAACGAAATGCAAAACGCATACGCACATCCCATCTCGTGGCAAATTTAATACGCGTATCGTGCGGATAATTTAATCACTCGTGCACAAATTTTGCATTATTTCGATAAATTGATCATTATTTTCTTTCCTGTTTTTAATGATACTAATTAGAACAGAAATATGCCATGAAACACCAGCATTTTCAAGTTACTCTCTATATAAATAAAATGTTGGTCTTCGTAACATATTGCAGTTTTTCAAATACAAACACATATATATGTATAAAAAAATAAAAAAAATATCGCGGTGGATATTGTAGGTTCACAATCATCACTGCCGTCTGTTATCGTAGGATTCCACCATAATTTTTTGTTGAGAGATTTTCTCTGCTGAAAATATCGACTTGGCATGGCCTGTGTAAATTTTATCGCGCAGCCATATCTTCTCCATTCGCCTCGCAGTCTTATATCGATTCTCTTCTAGGAGTCATAAAAATTCATCGCCTCTTAATCTTAAAGTAACATACATATATATATACATTCTTGCCGGCTCATTGAGATCTATACTATTAATCAATGATAAAAGAAATTGTAGGCTATCGTTCGCGCATTTTACATTTATCATCTCAAGATTATCGAGGAAAGGATCGATATTCGATATAGGACGTAGTATATATAGATATATACGACAAGATTTGCGTTGTTACAATAGTTAGTCCGGGAACAAGACCCATCCTGTTTATCTTGTTAGTCAAAGGATATCGAATTCGTCATCCTTCTATCCATTGAACGAACAAGCTTCGCTTATTGTTGTGCTTATCTGCTATATCCGGCAAAGAGACATCTTTGATAATAACTCGTATTCGACAAGTTACATGGTTCACGGAACTTCCTGAAAGATAAACAGATCCATATACTGCCAATCAGTTCCGACCAGTGCGATCTACGTATTTGTGAAACTACTACTTTACACCGAAACGATGGCACGAATGTGAACAGTTATCAATGTATCGAGACCGACATTCACAATCCTCGCAATCTATATCAAACGAAACTAGAAACACTTTCTAAAGCTGGCGAAACGCAAATCGGACATGTTTCCGTAGAACGAATGGATATGTCAGGATTGATGTAGCGCGAGAAATTCAATCAGACGTGCTGATCGCGAGGAACCGCAGAAACTATATAGTGATCTTCTTGGACTTTTGCATCATGATCGTGATATCTCACTATTCTCTTCTAAAAGAGATGTAATCTTTTAGGTGAGGGGGAATTTTCATTTTCAGAATGTCGGTCTTGTGTGAATAAAAATACCAGAAACTTTGACAAAGTTGAATATATGTCAATTTATATTCATATATACTCTAGATGAATTGCGCCTTCAAAAGTTTTACCGAGAAAATCACCTGTCTCTTTGCATTGAAAAGGATGATTAATACTAGCAACACATTGTCAAAGACCATTCAACAGAGAATCGGCGAAAGTACATACGCGATATTAAAACTGAAGGAGATATTTTTGATTTAACACATGTAAAATATTTTTAATATTTTAGTTTCTTTTAAGAGAGAGAGAGAGATCTAGACAAAATGAGAGCGAAAATTAATGTTTGCCTATGTTAGATTCATAAATATAATAAATATATAATATATCTGAAATTATAAAATCTCGAATTTTAATGACAAAAAATCATAAATTCATAAATATATATGCATAATATATAATATATTATATAATATATAATATATAATATAATATATATATATATATTTCTGAATTTATTATTTTTGTCATTAAAATTCGAGATTTTATAATAATTAATTTTTAATTTTTTAAATTAATTAATTAATTAATTTTATAATAATTAATATATATAAATATGTATAATATATAAAGTTACTGTCGCCTAAGAATTTGTCACCTAGTGATTCCATGGCGATGTTCGCCACGTGCAAGTCTTTTATCATGCCTGTACAATGGCCCAAGTTTTTGTTGTCACAATGGCCGAAGAATGAGCTTTGTCGTCGGATTCTCTTATGTCAAAGTCGAAATTCGAGATCTCCGCCCTCGCGTTTAGAAGATCGATATGGTGGCCGTAACAGGTATCGCCACTACTTAACCGTATGACGAACGACGCAGAGAGAGTCGTTTCTACGCGATAGCGCGGTCTCGTGGTAACATTCATCTTGCGGGCTTTCAAGCTGTTAGTTACGTTGGATGCACACGCGTGAGATCTCTACTGGGACTTGCACCTTCGTAAGATCCGAATAATTGCATTCGGGTTAATTCTCGTTTATATACAGATCTCTACTAAAACTAACCAGTGACGCGTATCAATTTATAAGCAGACAGTGATATATATAGTTTTTGGACGAATAATAATATTCTCTACGTTATATTTCTCAAAATCGGGAAACGGTGAAAAATGAAACTTCTTTTAAACGATAATGAATAGAAAACTTATCTTGAATCCGGCTTTAGAGAAATTTGATCGTTCTTTCGATTATGAGTTTAAAATTAAGATACACGCATATGAATGTGCTAATTTATTGATGAATAATTTAAAATAAAGACAACGACTTTATTGCATACGCCTTATAAATTGCAAATAAGCGAATATAACGCATCAATATTGGTGTTCAATATTGGTTATTCGAAAATATAAATTTATGCGGAATGTGTGATTCCATAGTGGAACCAGGCCAATTTTAGAACGATGTGTGATTAATACGGCATTTATTCTTGGCTTTTGAAATAATTTCGTGCATTGACCATTCTAATTGCATAATTCGCAAAAAAAAACGAGAGTCTTTTTGACGAATTCAAATTTATCGAAATATAATGGAATATGCTGCGTGGACGCAACACACATTTTGATCTTTTATTGTGAAAGTTTTCCCGACTTTTTACCACGTATTCTCTCGAAAATAATACACAGCGAAAAATATCGTAGTAAATGAAGGGTCTCACGTTTATATAGATGTGTCTATGAGCCTCCCGCGAAATAACAATCCTTGTGAGTGTCGCTCGTATTTCGGTTGCCTCGGGGATGATGCGGTTCGTATCTATATCAGTTTTTTTTTTTCTTTTTTTTTTTACAAAGTACCTCGTTTTCGACAATGCTTGATGCTATAGATACGCGCGGCTTTCAGCGAGAATACCGGTTCTACGTATTTCCGTACAAATTGTACCACGAGCACGTATGTACATATGCGTTTCCTGTGTAACATGCAAATTCGTTCGGCACATTACAAAAGACATCGCAAGAGTTTTGCCGATATTCCGCACAAATGAGAATTTTCGACTCGACTCAATACATTCATGATTTCTGTGCACTTTGCAGATCTCT